ATCGAAATCAATACCCGTACACACGCCACTGTTAAAGCTAATAGTTATTTTTGCATTGAAAAATATGCAACTTTATCAACTTTCACTACGTGCTATATATCAGTGAAATATATGAAGCGGTTCTGAAAATATTAATTAATTTCCCTTTTTTTCCTAAGTTTTTGTAAGGTAACATTTTTGGAACACAGCTTATACACCTTGGGAAAAACCATTATTATAGATTTTGATGAGGAAGAGAGATGGAAATATACAAAAGTATGTAGGTGCGTGAAAGACACTCGATTGTAGGATCGTATCTGGCAGCGTCGGAGTGTGAAGGACAACGGGGTAAAGTACAGGGTGGGGCATAACTGTCTCCCTATTTTCAAAGCTTAATAAAACAAATGTTATTTGAAATACTATGGATTTATTTTGAAATCTTAAAAGTGCAACTCAAACAGTTTTATTTTATGTGGTTTTGAAAATAATATCGGCAAGGTGTTTTCCACCATTATCACAGCATTGCCGCAAGCGCTTTCTGAAGTTTTGCATAACTCTAACTAACATTGCTTGCGGTATTCGGCCAATTTCCAGACGGATTGCCTCCTTCAGCTGTGGTAAGGTCCTTGGACGATGTTGAAAGACTTGAGCCTTAAGATAGCCCCACAGAAAGAAATCGCAAGGCGACAAATCCGGGGAGCGCGCAGGCCAAGGAATATCGCCTCTAAGGGAGATCAAGCGTCCGGGGAACAGTTCTCTCAAAATGCCTAATGATGCTCGGGATGTGTGGGCTGTCGCCCCATCCTGCTGAAACCAGGCTTCTGCACATTGAATTCTGAATCATCGCTATGTAGCGTTCCGAGTTGATGGTGACAGCCCGATTACCTTCTTCAAAAAAGTAAGGCCCAACTATCCCAGTTTCTGACACGGCGCACCAAACTGTGACTTTCTCACTATGCAGAGGCTTTTCGTGTATCTATCTTGGGTTTTCGGCACACCAGAACCGAAAATTTTGTTTGTTCACGCAGCCAGACAAATAAAAATGTGCCTCGTCACTAAAAAAAACCGCCTCCTGAGGTAACTTTGCAATCATGTCTTGCCATGCAGCTAGTCGATTGTTCCAATCACGTGGTGATAATTCCTGTACAATAACCATCTTGTATGGATGAAAATGTAGGTCTTGATGAAGAATTCTTCGTAAAGAGCGATTAGAGAGGCGAAGGGCGTCTGCATGTCTGCGTGCAGAGCGGTTGGGCGAGTGTTCCACTGAGCGTCTGACTCTCTCTATGTTTTCGAGCGTCCGAGCTGTTCGTGGACGTCCACCTCCTCTCCTGATAACAGTTCCAGTTGCTCTGAAATTTTTCACCCACAAAACAATTGATTTTCGGTCTGGCACTGGTCGGTTACGAGGAATTTCAAATTGCATACGGAACGCTCGTTGTGCAGCGATAACGGATCCATTTTCGTGGATGTACGCTTCCACGGCGAAAGCGCGCTGTGCGTCGGTCCACATGCTGTTTCAAACTGAAACCTGTTCTAACCTGAAACTGTTCAACTTGCCGCTTGTACTGACGCTATCCCCACTTCCATTCGATGCCGCCCGGTTGGGCCTTACTTTTTTGAAGAAGGTAATCGGGCTGTCACCGTCCACTCGGAACGCTACGTAGCGATGATTCAGAATTTTTTTGTCCCATCTCTTGCAGAATTCAATGTGCAGAATGCCTGGTTTCAGCAGGATGGGGCGACATCCCACACATCCCGAGCATCATTAGGCATTTTGAGAGAACTGTTCCCCGGACGCTTGATCTCCCTTAGAGGCGATATTCCTTGGCCTGCGCGCTCCCCCGAACTTCAGAAAGCGCTTGCGGCAATGCTGTTAATGGTGGAAAGCACCTTGCCGATATTATTTTCAAAACCACATAAAATAAAACTGTTTGAGTTGCACTTTTAAGATTTCAAAATAAATCCATAGTAGTCCAAATAACATTTGTTTTATTAAGCTTTGAAAATAGGGAGACAGTTATGCCCCACCCTGTAGAAGAGTGATAAAAGAGAGAGATGGCAGAACGGGCGCTGGCGCCTACCGCTTAGACGAATGCGCTCAACAAATGCGATTTGTTTCTCCCAATCGCAGAGTTGCCGATACCAATATGTCATATTTCTAAGAAATCTAAGTCTACCCAAATTTCTTGCTTAGTTTGCTGAAAATTCTACAATAGACGTACATTTTGAGAAACAGAGATTTGGTGACGACAAAATCGTAAAAATATAACGCATTTTCGTAAAATAATTTCTTTGTTGAAAAGACTGTTGCTTGATGACCCATTGAACGAGTATAGTGTCCCGCTCCGCTTTGAATATTCGAAACACTATACTCCAGCAGCATTCAGCTTCAATGTTATCTTTATGAAGTTCTAACGTCTAGGCCATGCTGATTAAAAGCTTGAATGAATCAACACTTAACTCTAAATTCCCCACAATTCGGGAAGCTCTACTCAAATTGGCAACACAGCGTATCTGCCTATTATTCTCATTCGTGATACAGGTCTGCGGTTAACGGTAGGAAATATGCACGAATAGCGATGAAAGTAGACGAGCCGATGCGCTGTTGCCAAGAAATGATTTCCCTTGTATAACAATGGTTTTTCCTAAGGTGTAAAGCAAACTAACATTAATTTTTCATGTAGATTCACAATTCACACCCTTAAATATTCGCATATCATTAAGGAACACCCTGTATATCTGCACTAGTTCCTAGCTCGGTTTTCGACCCGTCTATGTACCAGGTAATTTCGCCTTTCATGTTGTGTCTTTGGTGTTTAGTCCCCTATTTTGGTCTGAAGTTCTTTTTGAATACAATTCTGGGAGCTATCTGATCTTTTCTCACATCAAATATATCAACTTCCCACATGTTTCCCTTTTTGATTGTGTCCAAGGTTCCTATACCTTCCTTTTGGCTGTAACCGTAGCCTGGAGTAGCCCATCTTTGTGCCATTATAGCAAATTGTATCTTCATTGCACCTTTTATCTACAGGCAGGCAAGTCTTTGTACCTTGCCGAATTCTACAATAGGAGCGTTCTACGTTACTACGAATTTCGTAAGTTCGTCACGCCCTTGTCCTTATGTCGAAATTGCCCCGCCCTCCTTGATCGTTAGAAATGTTGCCCTCTCGCAATGGGCATTAACATTAATGGCCATATACTAGTACTTAGGTATTATCTATATAAGAAAAACGATCATCAACGTAACTGTCCAGCCGTTAATGTCAATTAATTCAGACGCCACAATTAAAAGGCAGATTAAAGAAAAAAAGATAACAGATTGTTTCTTGTGGTTCTTCTAAGAATGTAGTAGAATGATGCTAAATTTCAAGAATATCTTACAGGGTGTTTCAAATTCGACTATTGGTATCTCGGAAACAGTAAGAGATACGAAGTCGCTTAGAAACTTCCGAAATTTGAAGTACATTATTCGTAACGGAATTTCAAAACAAACTGCACATCAACATTGCCACTTTTTTTCCTCTACAAGATGGCATATTTAGTATTTCAGTATTACCTTTTCATCTCTTGTACTCCACCACCAAAATTGTTTTTTCTCATAGACGCCCATATTGGATTTTTGCTCAGATAAATAGAGTTTTTAATTCTGATTTCAAAAATATGTAATGTGATATTGCCCAACTTTGGTTATTTAAAAAGATAAGAATTTCCCAAGTAGACCTTGAAATTATCAGATAAAAACTTGTTTCGTATACTTGATTTATCAAAAAAGTCGCAATAAACTGAGCGCTGAACAATCTACAGAAAAGAATCAGACTTTTCGTACGAAGTAACGGACAACATTGTGAATATCTGATATGATTTGCCTCTGATTATTTATGATTATTATTGTTATTAGAATCAATAAAAATTTTCATTTTGTGTTCATGTTGCACCATACCTTTTTATTTCTTTATAACTTTCTTCCAACAACAAATTCATGCTCAACTAAGGAAATTTCATCACTGAATGTAAGACTGAAAACTCCATTTAAATGTACGAAATTCCAATATAAGATCCAGATAAAAAGTCAAATTAGGATACGAAAGTCAAAAAAAACACCTCGAAATGAAAATTTGGCTACGCCATCTTGTAATCTGGAAATTAGTGGTCATAACATAAATAAGCACAGGTGAATCAAAGCAGATATTTACTATGTTGTCCGTTATCTGGTATCAAATCTTGACTCTTCTCTGTACATTATCAGCGCTCAGTTACTTATGATTTTGCGATAAATCTGGTACCTGTACGAAATAAATGACTATCTGATAATTTCAAATAGGAAATTCGGTAAGAAAGAATAAAATTGATGCCGAGGACGGAAGATGAAACGTCATATTGAAATTCTAATTATAACATTTTATAGAGGAGGAAAAGAGCCAATTTAATGTGTATTTTATTCTGAAGTACCACTTAAAATAAAATCGGGAAAAAATCGGAACGATTTTGTGAAAATTCAGTTTTCTCCGCCTCTCCCTGGAAGTACTTTGAATTTCATAATTTTCTAGCATGCATCTTATTATTTACCTAAATACGCAACTTTGCCCCCATTTTGGTGACTTACCATCTTTACCGTTTCCGAGATCCCAATGGTCGAATTTGAAACACCCTGTATAGTATATTAAAAAAAGTTCTTCAAAAAATTTTTTCACTCAAGTCGAAAGGTATTTCTGACAGACTGCTTTATATCGAGCGATCCGCGGATTACAAAATGATTATACATGTAGAAAAAATATGAGTAGAACAAATAGTTCAAACTAAGAAATGGATTACTTTTGGGTTTTATTTTTTGTTGTCTGGCAATGAAAACATTTTTAAGTCGGACAGCTAACTGTAATCAATAAAAAAGAATAGAAGTCGAAGGCCATAAGTGGAAAAGGAAAAGCCTACAGAATGTTTAACATAAATCAGGAAGAAATTGCGCGAAAATTGCATTTTCAGCATGACACGGCTTCATCATATTTCATTGCTTCTTCTAGGTGAAGGTGTGGTTCCAAAATCGACGGATGAAGCACAAACGTCAAACCTTAGGCAAACAAGGAGAAGACGGTGATGATAAGGACTCTGTGACCAGCGAAGGCAGCAAAAGTGCCAAGCTATCCGACAAGTTCCTGGACGACGTGGAGATGTCCAAGAAGAGCTGTCAGGGTTGCGAAATGCCCTCGGCAGCCCTATGTGGTTCCACGCATCACGACGACCTACCAGGTGCAGCAGGGGATGGTAGCGTCACCAGGGGTACTAACAACAACACTCCTAGCGCTACAAATAATAATAATTTTAATACGAATAGTAATGGTGCAAGCAGCGTTGCTAGCACCGGGTCTTTCGATAAGCTCATCATGGCGGAGGAGGATTCAAGGTACGTCAGAATTAAAACTTTGTTCAGATGTCGAATAACTTAGTTCTCAAATAAACTGGCTTAAACGCTCGAACACTGAATGCTCCGTGTTGACGGCTCGAGGTTAGAGTAATTGCTATGGACACGACGTTTGAATATGACACAGTAGCTTGAAAGCATGGTCGTTGTGGCAAGCTCCCCATTAAGACTAGTGCCTTCATGTCCAATTTCAGGCGTTTAGAGTGACTTGAGTGTCGGCCTTTTCGAGAATCGGCTCTACCATTGCCGATAAGTGCAAGGCAGGCAAAAATGGGACAAATATATTTTCTGAGAAAAGAAACATGTACAAGTACACTTCCATTTGGATCGCAGATTAAAATTTACTTTTCACGTAGTTTTTGGAGTGTACTCTATACTCCAGATTAAGGTGAATTTTCCACAAAAACAACGGCTTACGTGTGAAACAATGACCGAATACAAGAATCAAAACAAAAATCCTAGTTGAATTTTTATTTTGCAATCCAGGATTCTTCCATCTGCTCAGTTATAGTGCAATTTAATCAGCTTCTTGTTAAACATTGACGAATTACAAAGCTTAAAATATAGTCAGTCTAAGGACAATGATGAGTCGTTGTGTGGCGAGCTTCAGACGATTATTGGAAGAAATACCCCACCCAAAGGACGTCTTTGACTCAATTTTAGAATCAGACTTGAAAAAAAATGTCTCTGATTAGTATGTAGCTTTGCGGATTCTCCTAATGCTACCAGTAACCGTAGCATCAGGAGAAAAAAGTTTCTCAAAGCACTTATAAATGCCCTTCCCGAGAGCGGCAAAAACTCTTGAGCCAGTTGACGCAATTGTCGTTCATATAATTTTCACTACAGCGTTCACACAGATATAATGGCATGTCACAAGGTATTTTCAGTGCAACTGTATAAGGCTCTTAGTCGTACAGGCAGGCACGCAAAATATGTTCACTGTTGCATTTATTTTTTTTTTGCTTTATTGCAGGTCGAACGAAGATAGCGGGTCGCACACCTCGCCAAGAATAGGCAAAAAGAGCAACAGCAGTACTCCAAATAGCAGCGTCGTAGTGAAAGTGGAAAACAAACGAAGCTCTCCCAATGCTTGTGATAGGAAAATAGGAATAAGCAAAACTTCACCAGGTGTCAGCTTGACAAAGGACAATCCGGTAGGACCACTCGAAGCTGTTCCTATCAAACTATCACCCAAAAACGCATCTATGGCTCCGACGCCGATGACTGTTCATCCTAACTCCATGGGTATGCATTTCATTAATAAAATCGTTGCTTCGAGGAGCTAGTATCTTAAATAGGTTCTAAAAACCTGCTGATGAGAAACTACTTTGGCAAAGCACAATTGACTCAATCATGCATAAAACCGATTTACTCAACACGAGCAGGGTGATTAACGTCTATGCATTATTTCGCTTCACTACAGGTTTATCTCCTGCCGGCATGGTATATCCACACCTTCAACAACGGTCGTCTCCAACCACAGCTACAGCGATTGCTTCAGCAACAGTGACCATCCAAAACGTGTCCAACAACATCCCTCCGTTCGCTAGCAGAGGTGTCTCCAATCCCCACTTTCCGAATCAGTACCCAATGACCAACCAACTTGACTACAGATCCGAGGGAGGTCGTCCGAAGCCTTACCAAATGAACCAGGTAAACATTGTTATCATAAATCTTTCCAGATAATCACAACACTCGCTACACTATCTCACTACTCAGCATACCATTACAGTATTCACTGCATCATTATAGTAACCACATAATCAAAAGTGTTTTACTTTCCTTCACCTTGTGCCTTCTGGAAAGTCGAATAGCCTATAATGTTTTAGTTCTTATCGAGGAGGGTGCATTTGGAAGCAAAATAATCCTGTAATAATTTTTCCTTCGACCTTTTTCCTCTCTGCTTTTTCCCTTTGCCCCTTTTCATCGTTCCCCAAATAACTAATCAACCTCAATTTTTATCTCCCTTCTTCCCTCTCTTCCTTCTCTTTCTGTTCTTCTCTCTTCTTTTCTTCGTTATCTGCATTCTCTTCCATCTCCTAATTATCATCCTGATCTTCCCTCTTCTGTCTTATTCCCGTCGCCCTCTTAGTTCTATTCCGTTTCTTTCTTTTGTCTCTTTTCTTCCTTATCTCTTGTTTTTTCTCATTTTGTTCCGTTTTCCGACTCTCTTCTCATCCCTCTCATATTTCTACTGCTCTTAGATAGGTCTGGACATTTTTACGTTTACTGCAATATGTTTGTTGCAGGTGTACTCCGGAGACCTCTATAATCCTGACCATCCATCAGTGAACGACGGGAACCCATACCACAGGAACCAGAACCACACTACCAACGTACCAGTATCTAGAATGCCTAGTGGAAGGGGTAGAACAGCTGCGTCTTACCACCATGCGTATCCGAACCAGCAGCAGTACTACTATCACAAAGGACAGACAAGCGATGGTTATAATATGGTCCAGAACAACTATGCGCAAGGGTATCATGCGGAGCATCCTGGTTATAACCATTACGCGTATAACACCAACAACATGTATCCGAATGATAGTACTGAGGCAACAAACACACATTTGCCCAACTCAGTACCCATGAATCATGAGCATAACAACTACTACGCGAACGAGCCTGTACATTCTATGACCAAGGTAAGGTGATTTGAATTCAGACAAGTCAAATTACGTGTCAAGTGAACTCTGCAAGAAGTGCTTTAAACTTATTTATGACTAGTGGTGATAAGTTTTTAATTTATGGTTCAATAATCAGCTCCTTATTCCTACCAACCCCCCCCCCCCCCCCATTGTTGTGGTACAGTCAAAGAAGTGATTTTTCATTACTCCTAATGATTCTTCTAACTAATGAAACTAACCCGCCACTAAAAAATTTCTTATCGCAAAAAAGGTCTTGATGGTCTAAAAAAAAACTTATGTATCTACTACAAACTGGTGAACTGATCATGTTACTAAACAATGCGCCTGGAGATTGTTTTAACTGTTAACTTATTTAAATAAGGGAATAGTTACTTGTGACCAAGCATTGATAGATGTGAATCCACATAGTAACCGCGAAGTATACCGGCACCCTTATTACGTACTCGTAATTGCAAAATAACGGGGGCAGCGATCAGGACCCCTATACTTGAAAACGAGAAAGAAGAAGGCGTGGTTCTTTTCCCTGAGGAATGATCCCAAATTCTGACAGGGAATAACATCTTAATGAATACCATACCACATTCCTTATGAATTCCTTATTTTCCAGGATTCTTCATATTGTTGATTGTTTAATCTCAAAGTCAACTTCGTCTTTAAAAATGAGACGTGTGGACGACAGCGAGACGTCCTCGTTTTTTTTTCTCTCCTATTAGTGTTCAGAAATGCAGTTCTCCGAAGGGCAAGAGAACCACGCCCACTTTCTCCCAGTTATCCTACTCACTGGGTCCAAGAATTCATCCGCTGATCGCTATAATTGTCACTGTGGAACTAGCTGACATTCACTTCATGTTCACTTGTAATAGCTGTGTATGTTGCCTAAACGCCAGCGTACTTGAGCTATGCTCTGATGTGATCTAACATTTACCTCAGGGATGGTACAAACGAAGGAATCTATGGCCTATGCTGTAAATTCTACCCATATGGCACGGTACCATTCCTCCATGCGAGGTTTGTTCACAGCGAGTACGTGCGGCGTGGGCTAGCGACTAGTGACACAAGTGACAAGTATAGCGATCAGATCGCTATCATAGCGCTTGCTTCGAAAGAATAAACCACTAATAACTTGCTACAAACCAATTCATTACTTTTGGGAAGTTACATTTCGAGAACTATAAAAGCACCTTTCTCATTTTCAGAACCAGGAGTACCAAAACAAAATGGGCTACTACGACAGCGCCACCTATAACGCGAACCATTTACCTCCAAGCAACGACGCTGCTTACGGCATGACAGGTGAAATGTTTAGTCCTCCCAACAACACTGCTGGAATCATGACACCGCCGTCTAGTGTTCCAACCGAAAACAGCGAAGGTTACAATAATTTCCATCAGTTTTATGGATCTGAGTCACAGACCCAAGCTGCTCCCACGACTGCTGAGAGCAGCAACAGTTCGTCGGACTTTAACTTTTTGAGTAACTTAGCTAACGATTATACTCCGGAGTATTATCAGATTTGATCTAGTGCAATCGAGGATGTTTACTGTTAAGGATGTTTTTATAATTGAACAAGTGTCGTGGTATGTCGTGGATACTTGGTGAGATGTGACAGATTATAAATATCGCGTCCAGCCCCTTTTGACTCACTATCAATGCCCAGGATATGAAATAATCAGTGATAATGTTTGCTAAAGAGTTCAAACCACAGAGAATGCCCAATATTCCATTTTTATGTCAAAATCGACGATATCATGACGTTGCTATATTCAGAATAACTCTTCTTCCAAAATATGGACAGGTTCATCTAGCAACTTACTGAAAAGAGCTAAAGAAGCGTTATTTTCACTTACGATCCTTATAATCAGCCACATCAAATCATTTCATGTTCTGTTAAACTGTAGATATGTATCTAAACTTTGATTTGTTATTTGTTCAAACACAGAACACAAATGAATTCACATATGTTTTCTGGTTTTGCATCGTTTGTATATAGTGCGGACAATCTGTAATATGTTGACTTTTTATTGTATATTGTCAGTATACACGTATACCTTGAATACCCACACTTTTATAGATTAAGCTGTTCATAACTACAAAAAGGTGGACTCTGAAAAGGAGAAAATCTAAAATATCTTCTACTGTTCTCAACTAGGAAAAAATAACATGAAAATACTCTCCAGTGATAAAAATAATAAAGATATGAGAAGTTTTCTCCCTTCTGTTCTAAAACTTACAGTACAGGAGTATCGTAAATAATATATATTTTCAAATTAATATGTATATTTGTACTGATTTCATTTTTACACTTTGATAAGGGTTTGCTTTACTATACAAAATTTACCTCCACATCAAGTAAACCATATAATTTGTCCTCTCAATGTACTTAGATAAGTTGAGTGACATTCGTACAAACAATTAGTTTTCCCATGCATTGTGAGCAGCCTTTCCTAAGTTTAAGCTGGCCATACACGCTAAAGCTTGCAAACTGGAACCCTGACATGTATAGCCAGCTTTATATGTGACTTTCTTTGCCAGCAAGAAAGCACGCTAGAAGATAGCACGCCAGTAGATCGCAAGACGTTTGATTTTTGTGTGTGCCAGTCTCAATGTACTTAGATAAGTTGAGTGACATTCGTACAAACAATTAGTTTTCCCATGCATTGTGAGCAGCCTTTCCTAAGTTTAAGCTGGCCATACACGCTAAAGCTTGCAAACTGGAACCCTGACATGTATAGCCAGCTTTATATTAGGATATCAATCGTAACTAGCAGATAAATAATATTCATAAGAAATCGTTGTTCAAAATTCATACCACATATTTGGTGGTACTGTCACCTTTGCTAGTATTTGATCAATTTAATTTCATCAATTCAGAGCCGGCAGATAATTCTAATAACACGTTTTGCTTTTAAATGGTACCTATAGTACAATAGTTTTTTAATAAACACCCATTGGAAACGTGAAATGTCTTGCAAGTTGTGGCAGATTTTGAATAAAGTATCCTGAAAACTATTAGCTACTCGAGTCACCAACGCGGTGAACATATTTTGCAAGAATGCTTTATGTAATGTAAAAATGCAATACAACTAGATATATTCTTTTTATATTTGGTTACAAGTTACTTTTAAATGTAAATTAATGTATAATTATTATAAAAATACACTGTAGTCTGTTGTCATATGTAAATATCTACTAAGTACGTACTTTCTAATGTACAGATAATATAGCGAGACACATTGGTACTATTAGTGTTTTAGCTGAGAATAAACGATATTAGCTTTATACGGTTTACTTTTTATTTCGGATAAGCAATGTTAAAGAAGTCAAAAAATGTAAAACACCTAGTGAAGAAACTATTTTCGAACTATTCATACAGGTATTATACGAAAGTGCAACATGTACGCTTTTTAAAGAAAATTTGAGATTTTGACTACTGTTTGTAGTTGGTAGGAATGAATTAACATTGAACAGCTGAATAGTTAAATAAAAATTTGCGAGTTATTGTATTGTAACTTTAAGATACCCTTACTTGGTAATATATTTCATCATACGATCAAATTCACTGGCATATACCGAAGATGCTGGATAGTATCACACCGAAATTTCGGTTCCAACGAGTTTCGGGAATAAAATCTATAGTTATAACTCTATTTTGATGGTTTCCTCGGCAAACGAAAGGTACACTCTTCAGCTTTAATTTTATTCAGTTTCTTGTTTGTACTTAATTCTCAGATTCTTATATAGGGTAAATCAAAACCAGATTCCTATAACTTTCAGGCACTCTGTATGGTGTGACTTTATCAGTCATTCAAAATGCAGTGAACTTTTTTATCCAGAAAAGTGCACATAGTATACTCCTTTATAGAGAAGAATAGAACTACTGATTTTATAACGCTCTTTATAATTAAAGGTTGGAAACTTGCAGAAAGACATTATTTTGGTTCTGTAACATATATGTTTTTGTATCTGTTTGTTGTACAGTAAACAGATATTGTAGTTAAGAAATATTACCGTGGTGACATCATACAATAAACAGTTACTAAACCATATACAGGTATGTGGTTTGATTTCTCCGGACAATGGAATCTTAAGTTTATCTCTGTTTCGCCAATTTCTGTTCCATTGTTGCCGAAGGTTGGTTCTAACTCAAAAACATCTCCGAGGAAGAATACAAATTCCTCCAAGAATCGATTTAATGTTGCTTATGTCATATTTTCGTTGCAACGAAACATTAGTAGTATTTATTCTACTAACCCATAGCTTTAGTTACTGGCCATTTGAAATGTGACTGTTCCTAAAAACCTTATCAGTATCATTCGCTTAAGCTTTACCGATGCAATGCATTCCTGGGCATTGAACGAATCCCATTACCGAATTAAAAGCGCCCGTCTGTCGAGGTTCTTTTTTTCTGCACTAGGGAACATCCGGTGAGCGAGAGCAAGCGGGCTCGAAGCGATTGAATCGATGAGAAATATACATAGTGCAAATCATAGAACGGCGGTGGTATATTGGAAATAAGGTGTCTGACAGTGATAGATTACCCTGGAGTAGAGCGGTAGCGGCTGAGTGAGTCATCCGACCCTAAGAAGCGACTCTCGCTTCCCCTTCCGCCCCCCAGTCACCCCTTGGGCGTCCAATGTTCATCCCGTTTCAGCCTGCGTCAGCTGATCTATTAAAATTCTCTGCATACGGGGGCAAACGATAACTATTACCTTATGCTTACATCCCATTATGAAGGGCGATTACCCCTTAGTTTCAGCGACAGAAAACCGGCACGGGTATTACGTATCATGAAAAGTGACATTATGCCGATTTTTTTTGACATTATATTTTTTTATACTCCAACCACCACGAAGGCCTAAGCCCTAAACACCCATGGGCTCCGTGGACTACAGGGGGATACAGGGGAAAGAGGGAACGCCACACGGACTCTGGCGAGGGAACACGTGTGCATGCATCATGCACACATTCTGGCTCTACGAGATCCGCCGGGTGGTACCTCTTCGTGCGACAGTCAGAGACCGTCTACCACCTACGGGCAATCAGAACACCCATAGCCAAGAGAAATATTTCTTATTGTTTTTTTTTTCGTGACATTTAGCACTAACTGATGGACACGTTTCGAGCTCGTTTTGTAGATGTAAGTGTTGCCTAAACGTCATGAGGCTTCAGCTGTCAATGTTTGGCTCTGATGTGATGTAAAATCTGCTTCAGAGATGGCATTACTGGAGGAAACGGCAATGCATAGGTGTATAGTGAGGATTTGTGTGCTAATATGTGTTGATGATAATTGCATTGAATTCTTGTCCCAAATACACTTACTTGAGATGTAAAGCTAGAAATTAGTTGCGCATCCACTTTATTTTTGTCCAGACTGGAAACTGCTTATGCAAATTTGCTGAATTTCAAAATTGAGAGTTAAGAAATATTTATATTCACTGTACACTGTCAAATTACCAAGTCATACATATGCTAATAGTAATTACCTACACACAACGCAGGCGCGGTGGTGATTTCCCGTAATTATCCTCAAAGTTTTTGAAAACACAAAAAAACGTAAAAATCGTGATTGATAACTTTGAACATAACATGTCTTCCGAAAGGTCAACATATAAATAACCCATCTCGCACAACTAATAGATATACTCCATTGCCAGCATATTCAGTAATGATTTTCTCACACAGCAGATATCACTGATCACATGCAGACCAATACACACAATCATCCAAATGCGATCTTGCTATTCAGCGAAATAACCAACTTTCTTCTCAGAGACTCAGAGATGAAAACTATAGAACACTCAGCTTCACAAAACATATACAACCAACAACGCGTGTATACGTGTAGTTGAGCCATTCCTCCATAGATGGAAGCTCACACCGATTCTATTGATCAAACGTAGGATGCGTATTTGCACCCTAAGGACTGCCTAGTCTGCAAGATGACATCTGATAGGTTTTTTAAGTTTTATAGGTTATTTACATAATACCCGTGCCACACGGAACTTGACGGCTAGTTTCACTATCACATGGTAAAGGAGACGACACAATCCTTATGGCGAATGGCTCCCAGTCAAATTGGCTTTAACTCTGACCTGGATTTATTTGTCATGAGAACTGTACAGACTTAATACTCCACTAAAAATGTATAGAAAACGCGTCTGGAAATCAACAGACATCTAGCAGATGGGTTGAGTTATCATAATATGAGAGAGAAATAAGCTATGTTCAACAAATAATCGACAGTCGACATGGAATGTGTCAAAATAAACACTACTATACATAAAGAATGATTCCATTATTAATATGTAATATGTTCCACGCGTACATTGTCACTTAAAAATCATAAAGATTAAGAACATCAAAAAATGTAAAATATCATAGACATAAAAATATTATTATATATATTATGAAAAATACTGAAGAAATTAATCATGAATCTTTATGATTTAAGACAATACAAACAGAACCTAGAACTTAAAAAATATACACATAATGTAAATTAACAGTCACACAGCACGAACGTAATCACAAATTGAAATTCGATAAATAACATTTAGAATAGAAATGTAATTTGAAAAAGAATATATTTTTTATTCTTAATATCCGTCAACATGTCCATGAGGTTAGTTCCGAAAAACAATTTTTTTCTCTTTATGGGTTTGTAACATTATCAGTCAATTCAGGTTATTGATTTTTGTCCTCGCTGTACAAAATTCTTTTTAATAAGCTCTTTGAAGACATAAATACAATAACAAAATGCTTATTCTTCAACAAACACAGAGTAAATATTCAATTTACCTGTTTCTTTCTAGCTACTGCTATGCTCAACATGTGTTTACAGCTAATTTTCTTGGCTCATCACAGTATTACTACTAGCGTCCTCTACCGTTGCCGTGGGAAGTTAGGTTTGGAAATGACGTCGTCCCTCCAATTCCCTCTAATGGATGGATACAATGAATATCTGGTAATTCAGTGACTGAATAGAGATTGTCTTATACTCCTAAGTTATACTTTTGTTCTTTACTTACATTTTTCCCTGTAAAGTTCATCAATTTTGAAATCATAATTTTCTATATCAGCTTCATTTTAACAAGATCTACACTGTTTTCAAGCCGCACAAAGCAAACTCAAAACATTGAACCCGATAAAACAGCATTTGATCTATCGCTTAACAAGAGCGGATCCTATTTTGGTTATGGCGATCTCTGCACTAGCACTCAAAACGATCATGTTTGCCGAAAATAGATTATTTATCGCTACAGCAGCGCGCTACGTTCATGTCATCGTTGGTTGTCGGAGCGGTCCGACACTGTGACTCAAGAGTCACAGTGTCAGTTTTTAAGTCTGTCATTTCTAGTAACCCAGAAACTAGACAATTTTAAGGAAAAAAAGGGAAGGAAAGGAGAGAAGGAAGAACGAGAGCAAGGGGAAGAAGAGAATCTTTTAGGATAGCAAGCGTTTGGGAATTGTTAAAATCACTTCACAGAGCTACGTTATGATCAACGGGAAGATTTTCAGCTTTGTCAGGCCTCAGTTGACACCACATTGCACAGATTTCACCATAGAGTCCACTCCTATGTCCGATGCACTATGCACTTTGCTCTCGGCGCAAAAACACAAACGCTTATTTCGAACAAGTTAGTACAAAATTTTATCTACGACCGACTTGAAGTCAAAAAATTGAAAGTAGAACGAAAAGCATGACCGGGCTATTGAATTATCTGTAGTTGCACTGTTGCGTAGCAATTAATAAATAAGAGCAGTTCCCATAATAGCCGAATTATGTTCATCATTTGGTTGATTCAAACATATCTGACTTAGTTTTACCGCCCTAAGACATAACGAATCTGTGACTGAGAAAGTACGCATTAAGATAACGTTTTGTCGCTCGTACCATACCTGATGTCAAAAGCATCCGTCTATAGTACAGCTCACCAGTGGCGACGCGTGACTTTTCCTAAACTGTTACGAAAACCAGATGTGAAAAATCTTATTAAAAAAGTTTATTTTGAACCTCCCAAATATATGTTTTTGCTTATCTTGGGTATTTTATTTAAACTATTTTTAAATTAAGGTAAACATTCCTGGATTGAGAGTCTGGGGCACTTGATATACCTCATCGTCTTATGCTATGACTAATTCAAGCCGTCCGAAAAAACAGTCGACGTTTCTAGATGTTCGGAAAACTTTTGATCTTTTTTTGGCAATGAATGTTGACAATTCCATGTAATTTCCTCTATTGTCAGAGTCACCCCCTTCAAAATGAACGGTAATTCCTGTTTTGCCAAAAAACATACGGTATCTAGAAGTGTGCTGCCTAAAAGCTTGGTTAAGACAACTTTCGATTCTTGTTTTGCCAAACTGAATTAAATTGGCTACACATCTCACATGTAACGGAGAAATTTCATGTCTTCTCCTTAGAGTCCTAAATCTATTTAAATCGTTGACTTCGCTGCTGGTCTAGCCAGTTTTCTGTATGTGTTTTTTTGCAACCACATAACCAAGAGTTTCCATATACCAACTTCACTTAATATATCAAACCACGTTTTTTATTCCTTTTTAAAATTATCTAAAATAGGTGTTGGTCTTCTATTTTCAATGATCTCCTTTTTTTTCTTAAAAATTATACAAGGAGAATGGCTTTTCAAGTAGTTGATCGATTACGCAGCGACACTCATCCATGTTTAATTGCACGCACACTACAGCCGGTAACCAAAACGGCTACGAACGAGTGAGAAGTGAGTAACCAAATCAAAAAATGGTAACAAGCCCACATATGCCACATAATAGTCGCAGCGCCCCACGCACTCGGGCGACCGCGATCAGACACGAGCCGGCACCGACGGTCCCCGACGGACTACCAAGTGTATCCATAAATGAAAATGGTAACAACCGACAACTAAGTCGAGGCGTGTCAGCTTCATCGTGTTCGCAAAACCTAGACACTATAGGACGCATTATATTCGTGGGGCTAATTTGCTATTTACTGAATGGTTAGATGGATGCTTCTCCACTGCGGCTCATACATTTAGTGCTTCCTAAACAAAATAAATAATAGTTTAAAAAAACAAAAAAATACGTTTTTATAGCCAACCGAACTTAAACGTAGGAAATAATTTTTAATTACGAATAGTTTACATTACAGTATTAGACAGTCAAACAATCAATCATAGTTAATGACCTCAAAATGAAATTATAATTTCTGTCGCATTCAAAATAATAAAAATGAGCTCATATTAAGCGTAAACCCCTTTTAGCAAGTCAATTCATATCAAAGAATATTTATATTCCTGTACTTGATTATTTGAGAGTCCTCTATCTTGTTGTCTACTATAAGAGAATACTTAGAAAATCGTAAACTAAAGAGAACACAAATACACAGTAAGAATGATGGGGCTTGTTTTCCAAAAAATCTACAAAATCGTTCCTTCATCAACGAAAAGTCCTGAGTCCGTACCTGTTTTCACGTTTTCTTAAACCGGAATGCATGTTGCCATCTACCGCAGTTAAGGTAAAGCTGTATGGTGTATCGATTTTTTTCCTCACGTTATTAACGGGCCCCTTCTAGTTAGTAGTAGTGTAGTGCTGAGCACATAACAGATGGCGCCATTAACAACCTACAGTGTCATCTATTTTATCTAAATGCTAAGTATGTGGAAAGCAGGTCAGTTATACGAGGAAACTGTAGCATCTGAAAACATTTATATAACTATATGTTTATAGATAAAATCGCCAAACAATCTAGGTTTTTTTGTAGTCTTCTGGAGACCCTCAGGGTTCGGTCCTGGGACCAGTCGTCGAGTCATCTACTTTTTGCTAAAAAAACCGTAACCAGTGTCGACCTATTGGAGTAACTTTTTTCGTGGAGCTTTTGTAGCGCAGACGCAGAGGGAAAAGAAGATACATACACTTCCAGCTGGCAGCTTAACCGACCGAACCGACGTCACAAAGAAACTAAATACTTGTTGCTAATCATTTCACTGTTACAGTAACAAACTCTGGAGTAATTTAGAACACTGATTCGAAGATTCCAGACGATCTCAGCAAAAAACTGGCATTATACTTACGATACGCATACCATTGACCCGAGAAATGGGTTTTGGTCCATATTGCAAATACAGTATTAAAAACCTTTTTCCAACAGCACAAGGGTGAATTGTTACAAGAGAACTAAACAGAGGTATGATGATATATGAAATAAGTAAACAGATCGAGTCTCGGTACCATGGGCGGAACACTGCTCAGTCTAATCTTCGGCGCATCTGCTACTCTCTCCAGAACGCATGAAGTGGGTAACAGGGGACCACTGTTTGCATTCTTTTCCTACAAATAATAAATTTAGTACGAGCTGTGATCGTATTTCCGGGCATTGTACAATTTTATATTGAACATCGATACATTGACAACTCGAATTGCACGCCGATGTCAAGTAAGTTGTCGCTCTGACAAATATGAATGCAGGGCACCCATACGTAACGACAAAGTTTTCGAGACGGAGACGCACAACTAAAAACATATGTCTTTGAGCTTACCGAACAAACGTTCACACATAGGGGTAGGTTGCATGAGTATGTATGGGGGCGATGGAGATATACAGGGTGGCCCGTCCATGTGTTGACGAAATATTACTCATAAACAAATACATTTTCTGAAAATATATTTATGGCATGCTATAGGTGACATTTGAGTGCACATTTCTTAAATATTGGCAATTATACAGGGTGCCCCAATTTTGACCTACATATCAAAGCTGTGATTTTTTTAAATGTAATGCCTCAAATTTTATTGCAGATTTGGATAAACCAATTCAAAAGAAGAATATTGATATAACATACTATGGGGTTTTGGTAACTAGCTACTGAGATGTAAGGTGTTTTGTCCAGAAAAAGGTCCACTACGGCAACCCCTCAATCTGCCATTTTGAAATTTGGAGTACTGAATTTTCTATAAAAAAAACGCACATACCTCAGCTTTTATTTTATTTGTTACTTTTTCAAATTTCAATTTTTGCTTATACAGGGTGGTCAAAAACGCGAATTGCACTTTTTCTCAAAAATTTCGAATGCATCATTCTGTATATTTGAACAAGTTTAGATTTAATTTTTTATAAGCTTTTTTGGTATAAGGTTTGATTCTGATGAAATCACTAGATTTTGAGTTATTAAGCTGTTAATAGAACAACACACCAAAATTAAGAAAAAAAATCACATCGCCCACGGAAACAAAAGACGAATAGTGAGTTGGTTCCATATTGCCACTCTGAGTACAGATTTGACGTAAAAACTAATAAAAATCATTACAGTATAAGTTAGCTTCAAGCATAATAGAGAAAAACAACTATAACAACAACATAAACAAACAACTATCACTACTCAAGACCTAATCTCCAAAAACCGCTCGAAAATATTGTCCCCATGTTGAATACACAGCCGTAGTCTTTGGATAAATGACCGTTGCATATCCCGCAGCATGTGTTCCCCTATAAACCTCTTGCTTAACGTAGCCCTATAGAAAGAACCCCATCGGTGTCATATCTGGTGGTGGAAATAGTTACGCACACGTTTATAATAATGCGCAGTGCGCCGTCATGTTGGAAGTACATATGCATTCGAGTTTGCAGGTTGTCATTCTCCTAAAGCAAAGGCAAATGCTTGATCAAAAAATTCAAGTATTCTGTACCGTTAATCTGTTGTAGAAAAAGAAAGGCCCGATAACTTGTCTGCCAATAACACCTCCCCAAACATTCAAGCTCCATTTATTTTGGAAATCTTTTTGCTTAACCCAGAAAGGGTTTTCCGTCGCATAATAGTGCATGTTATGCCTGTCGCCTGTGGACAACACCTATGCTGTTAGAAGTTGCCTCATCGCTAAAAATAACCCTTTCCAGGAAAGTAGTGTCTTCACTCATTTTTTTAGAATTATTCTACTAAACTCCATATGAGCTGCGAAATCCTGAGGACGAAGGCCTTGATGCAAACATAGGTGATATGGATGGTACCTATGCTTGTGAATAATCCTTTGTACAGGAGTTCTGCATGTATCAGTACCAAGAATGGTGACTACAACTACGATTAGGGACGTCTGATTTGAATACGGCCACGAGAAGATACTAAAGTGTCCCGAAAACCTATTTAGTGTAAGAAAATGGAACGTTTGGGGCCTCTTCGGTGCAGTATTTTTTTATACTCCAACTACCACGAAGGCCTAAGGCCTAAAGACCCATTGTATACGGGGCTATAGGGGGATTCAGGGGAAAGTGGGAACACGTGGACATGCAATATGCACACATTCTGGCTCCGCCTACGAGATCCGCCGGGTGGTACCTCCGCGTTCGAGTCAGAGACTATCTACCACCTACGGACAATCACAACATCCATAGCCAAGAGAAAAATTTCTCCTGGGACGGGATTCGAACCCGCACAGCGCACGGCGACTGATCAGGAGACCGAAGAGTCTACTACTGCGGTCACCGCTGCTGCCTATAGTGCATACTTGTTCTATTTATCAAAAGCCATTTTTAGGGTATTACATTTTTCACTTTCCACCATTGATGTTCGTACGAGGTTTTTGCACTAACGGTGTAACGACCTGTAAATATAACATTTTTACTTTAGATGCTTGCACAGTATCATCTATTCACCAGCAACGGTAAGTCATGACCATGACATGACTGCGATTATGACAATAGAATGTATGTTAGTGTGTCAAGCCAAGCCATGGTTTTTCTATAATTGTAAACTTTTTTGCTTGGCATCCTATTGGGAGAACCCAAAAAAGACAATCCGATCCTGTTTACGATTCGAATCATATTATGAGCAGGAAATAATATGTATTTCGATGATGTTGGTATCATAATGACTTCCTTTACACAAAATAAGAGAGCAGTTAATCGTTCGTAAGCGTAAAACCAACACAATTCGAGGAAAAAGAGAATTAAGTGCCAAGTACGAGTATATCAAACTGAGACGATGTCGCAGAAAAAGAGAATTAAGTATCCAGCGTCTCATGATGAAGGTAAGCAGTTTCGCAACACTTCTGAAGTTGTAACGTTTCCTTTGTTAAAGCTTCGTAAGCATCTAGGCACTGCCCTTGTGGTGGTTGTTTTGTATACTTTCGCCATAAACATAGTATCTGAACTGCTTTGAATAGAAAATATAGCATTTTAGAAGATGAATTTTATCGATATATCCACACCCCCTTAGTCTATTGCAAATGTTACAATGTTTCGACGTCGGCATGACACCAGCCTTACTTTTCTTAAGCGGCCTACACACCTTGATGCATGCTGCGAGGCATCTCACATGTTTCATGTCGTAAATAGCAGTGTGTGTAGTACTGAATCTCGTATTTAGCATCAGTTGCGGCTTCTAGAGTCTGGAATCCCATTTTGGTCGGCGAGCCACGACGCCGGTCGGTGATACTGATGCAGTTTCACCGTGTATTGAATTGCGTCGATGCCAAGACGATATTTATTTTCCCGCGTCATTTTAGAGGCCCGTTTGTTGTTTGTCTGAGTGTGTGTAAATTCCATGATGGAAAGTGATCAACAATGCTGGGAAGAGTTCATAAACATTTAGTCCGCTGGCACTTCAAATAAATTTGCGTTTGAATAACGTTTTCTTTCTATAAACCATCTTTTGGACCATTTCTTTTATGGATTATAAGGCGTGCCCCAACTACTGCTAATAAAACTGGTGATGGCAAAACGTACTTCATTCTAGTCGTCAAGCAAATAATAACCTACTAGGTAGTTTTGAAAATAACTTCACTCTATTGTTCTTGTGTTGCATGAATCATCGAGTTGATTCAGGCATCGCATCATACAGCAAGGTGTGTAGGCCGCTTTATACAATTAAGCAACAAATCGGCAACATTTCGTGTTTTGTTTCGGTTTCTGGCAACATTGTCGGTGCGATGTGTACTTTGTTGCGAAACAAATATAAAACAGAAACTGGTATCAAAAACTTACCTCAATATATTCTTTGAGGCCTTCAGTTAGGGTATCACAAGCTTCCGGTATTATTATCGATATTGCTTGTTTTGATATTTTTGACTTTTACATCAAGCTATGATAAGAGTCTGCGGTCCAAAAATCTCAGTGTAACGGCCAAACGTTCAACTACATTAATGGCATTTCTGAAATTGGTATTTTGTATAGATCCATCATCTTTTCGTAAATTGGACAATAATATTTCGATACCACCCAAAAGCGTTTTTTATTTCCCCGTTCACAACTCTGGAGAAACACATAACCAGCAGACATTACGATAAAATCTTTGCACTTCTGCCTTTCAGCATGAAAACGCCACATATTTTCACTCGGAAAATTTTTGGTGTGAACTGCTCGAAACAAAGCAACTAAATACTTGTTTGTCTCTTGGGAATGTGGACATAAGTTTTCATTTTGATTTGTTTACGTTTCTTTGTTTTTGTTTTGTTGCTTTGATGTAGACCCGGCATAAGCTATCAAACGATTAACTCAAACGAAAGTTGGCGTGATTTGCGCCTAGTTCAGTTTCTATGTAACTCAGTATATTCATCCTTGTACTCAAGCTCACCAATGCCAGTCCCTGTATCCCTGACTTTCCCTTTCGATATTGATTTTCCGCTGGAAAACATACGGCAGTCATTTTCTATAATACAGTATCAACACCAGAGTCGTTCAAGTACTGAGTGTTATCATTTTATCTGTGAAGACCACTCATACTCGCATATCGAAATTGAAATGTTCTATCATCGCTACGGAAAATCGCGGCGCGCACATGCTGGCGCACAGCGATCTATTTTCAGTAATGAATAGAACAAACACATTGAATAGAAAAGTATCGACAAGCTGTGATATCTGTTAAAACTAAGCATAGTATATGCTTTCTGTGATAGACCCTTGGAATCATATTTCACCCAGGTAAGCTCAACCTATGTTGAAAAGCTATTGATTTTATTAGTAAAAAGTATTTTTTGTCACCATCATCTGTGCACATTAAAAGTATATGAATCACTGTAAATACTGATTGTCATCCTATTATTACGCACTACACTGTTGCAATCGTATTTCGTCATGTGCTTAGATGATATCATGTCAGTTTAAATAATGAGTAAATGGTAGAGATGTGGATTTCGATGCGATATTCCATACCCATCGATATTTCAAAAAAAGGTTTTATGAATTTGATTGTGAATGAATGTCTTTTCAATCAAAAGGTGATGCTGTGACAACAAAAAATTTACCTCGAGATGCTGATGAATCTAAACTTTATTTGTGGAGACGAAAAAAAATATTCGTAATATTCTCCCACGAATAAACGAATGTTCATTTTGCTTGTAGCTAATGCCAGTTTGGCGCCTAAGGCAAAGTAGGATCTTTAATAAAAAATTCCTTCAAGCACACTTACTGAATATTATTCTATTATTTTTAGTCTCATAAAATTCATAAAAATGATGCCAAAGCTTAATTTGGAATGAACACACAAATATCTGTACTGGAGCTCCTCCTATGTAGAAACGGCTCAACGACAATGTTGCCTATGGTGTTGCAAATCACAATTCGCACACTTTGTGAACCGAACGGAATCGACATCAGATTATGCACTGCAGTGTTCCCATAAAGTGTAAAATTCACAGCTTAGACCAGTAGTGCCACTTCTGAAGCAGATCTTACATTACATCAGTGCCAAACCATATAGCTCAAGTTTCATAACATATAGACAACACGCACAGATACTACAAGTAAACATGAAGTGAATGACAGCTAGTTCCAAGATGAGATTTTTTGGAAAAAACTACATAATGTCATTGAAAATCTATATACCACCACTTTTCAAGTTACGTACTACGGGAGCAGGGCAAGAGCTACAGTCCATCTCCTAAGCGAAAACGTTTTATTTTTTGTTGACTAGCACCCTTATTACGTAGATGCAAAGAAACCCACGGCGACTTTCAGAAAGTGACTTTCGTGATAGTCATAATTTCTACTACTAGCCATCGTTCACCTGTAGTAGCTGTGTGTGTTGCCTAAACGTCAAGTGCTCTTGAGATATGATACTAGCGAAAGCCACTTATGGCCTCTATGGCTTGAGCGCTACGTATACTATAGCAATTCCTTCACAAGAGGTGAATTATGTCGATTAGCTCGCTATTATAGCCATTACTTTGCACAATACGGGTGCGGGACCTAATTCTCGCTTTTCCAGAAAGCTTTTCATCCATAATTTCTATCATGTACGCTTCCCTCTTTTTGTCCTCCTAGATCCTAGACCAACACCGCGACCGATATAATTAGTCGATCAATATTGCCGCCTGTCTCTAAAAACTTTCTAGCTAAAAATGTTTCGATACTAAGCATCGAACTGTTTATTTCGATGTGGCATCTCTAGTATCCGTCAACCCAGCATCTGTGTCGCGTGTAGCGCTTTTCCAAGTTCAAGCATGCGCTGTTGCATCATCGATCAAGTTCAGAGAACAGAGACGTATCTGAAACATGCTTTGCAGAGGATAGATATACATGTAACTCAGAAACCAGATAAATGAGAGACACGTCGTGTGATTGTAGATGCTTTGGAGATAGAGAGTCGTAAATGTCAATATGTTGCAAAAACCCGAAAATGATAATTTCACGGAATTATTTATGCACTTCTACCTCTTCTAGAGATATCGTTGTGGTAGTTATGCAGCTCACCCGAGAAAACTAGTGTACCAAGTTTTTTCTTGGTCCTTTCACCTTTTGTAAACTAAGTAAGACTGCCATTATTCACCGGGAGCCGAGTGCAAATGGGGTGTAACTAAATTGATCGCCGTGCAAGTGCTGGACAGAAAGAGAAACTTCATTGCACGGATAGTTGTCTCTATGTTAAAATATGTCATGTGGGGTCAAATGAGGCCTGACAAATGTACATATATGTTGCTGCCATCACTTGTCAGATTAAAAAGAGATCGCTAGTTTGAAATTCAAGTTGTTCCTAACCTGAAATAGATTACACGTCTGTCATTTTCACGAATAACCGTTCAGATTCATATTGTATCTATCAAGCACTAACACTTCCGTTCGACATCCGCAAGGGCCACTTGGACAGGACTTGTATTTATATAGGTATGCATTGAGATAGGAATTTGTTATTATTTTCGCTTGGAAACGTATTCCTTTGGCTTTGAAATAGAGAGTTTCATTTTACATTTATATCAAGTTGCCATTTTGTACAATTTTCTACCACTCTATACCAATCAACTTTTCTTCCATTTCGTGCTTCTTGATATTTGCTTCTTTGTATTCTACTAAAAACCAAGTGATATGTGACCTTGGATAGACAATCATTTTCATAAACCATTGTGACATACTTTTTAGTCATGAATGTGTTGTATGAATAAATGTATAACAAATGACACACTTTTATCTGCCAATATCAAAATATATAATATACATGAACATTAAGTAGTAGTAAACAAGCAAACGATATCGTCCTACCTTGTCAAGAATTTGGTTGGTAAACAGTCCATGAAATAACCTTTTGGCGAAGAGTTTCCATTTATAAGGATAAAATACGGGTCTGGATATATTGGTGAAGCGGATTTTACAATTTTCAGTCGTTTTCGGACATATTTATATAACCTCGGAGTGACGTAAAATTGACAAGTTGACTGTTATTCCTGATTCATACCACATAAGAAATTACTATACAGAGCGTCATGACCCGCAAAAAGAAGAAGGAAGAAGAAGAACAACAAGAAAATCCTGAGAATGAAACAGACTGCATCACAGATGAAGAAAATCGACCTGATTCGACTAATGTAAAAAAGATATTAGAAGAGAATCGATCCCTGAAGAAAGCACTAGCAGAAAAGGAAGAAATAATTCGTCAGCAGCAACGAAAATTTAAAACTAAAAGAGCAGCAGCTGTCAGTAACCGCAAGTATCACTGAGAAGGATGCCATAGCATCAGCATTAAATAGATTTAACATGAGACTAGACGAAGTTGAGAAAAACCAGTTAGTAAAAGAAAATTCATACGCACAGATCTTAAAACAAACGATACCTATTACTAAAAGGCAATCACTGAAATGCATCACAGTTATTCCAAAAGAAAAACAATCTTGCGATAATACGAGAAGAGAATTGAGTAAGAGAATAAATCTTTCATCTCTGAACATTCAAATAGAAAGTGTAAGAAACTCAAAAAATGGCGGAATTGATATAAAAATTGATGAATCAAATCATAATAAACTGAAAGATGAACTTGAAAATAAATTGAATGAAAAATACCAAGTTACTGAGCCAAAAATGTTAAATCCAAAAATTAAAATAATAAATTATAAAAGTAGTGAGAAACCGAATGAAAAGCAAATTGAAGAAGATCTTATACATCAGAATTATATGATTCAGAGTGGAGACATACAAGTAAAGTTTATAAAATATTTTCCATCAAGAAACAATTACACTATCTACGCGGAAACTTCTGGAAAGCTATTCAAAAAAATCTTCGAAGACAATAATAGAAGAATACTTCTGGGGTGGCAATGTTTGACAGTATATCAAAATAACGACATTTCTCAGTGTAGAAAATGGTACCGTTTTAATCATACAGAAAAGAATTGCAGGAATGCCAACTGTGGTGACGGTCACGAAGGAGAAAATTGTAAGCATGTATCAATAGAATGCTGCAATTGTAGATATGGAAATGAAAGATATAAGAAAAATTATAATATTAACCACTCACCTACCGACAAAAACTGTCCATCGTACAAATATTATCAGGAACAACAAAACTTAAGGATACTTTAAAATTTAAGTTCATCTTTTGATACTCCTATCTCTAAAGAGGACCTAAAAATGTCAGTAAATAGATACATCAATTATTTCCAAATTCCAAATATTGCAACAAATAAAGCACAAAGCGTCGATGAACTTAATTTATGTACACAAAATTCTGATGCAAAATTTCGAATTTTTAATATGAACATAAGGAGTATAAAACACAACATTGATTACTTGAAAATACTACTCGACCAAATATGGTACAATTTTGATCTAATAGTTTTAACTGAAACGTGGCAAGTGGTTGATATTTCTTGCTTCAATTAGCAGGGATATGACACGCTGTATAACTTTGGCACTTATAACCAAAACGATGGGGTGATAGCTTTTGTAAGAAATGAGCTACAACATAATCATGATACATTCACTTTCACCGATGGAATCAAAATTTTAAACATAATGATTCAAATTAACCATAATAAAATTGAGGTATCTGCAATTTATCGTCCGCCATGTTCAGAACCCCACGAGTTTTTGAAGAATATCGAATTTTTTTTTCAAAATCAAAATAAAGTTCATTTAAAGCAACATATTTTCTTGGGAGATGTCAATATAAATATTTTGGACAATGATCCCATCACAAATGGATACTTGAATATCCTATCAAGTAACGGATTTCTGTCCTATATAAACCTACCTACAAGGTCCATCAGTGGCACATGTATAGATCACTGCTTTGTGAAAGACCTATCCAACAAAATTACTTGTATACCAATAATCCTAGAAAGCGATATTACTGACCACTTTTCCACTATTTTACTGATATCTTCAAATGAAAAACATTCTAACATCCCTACCGTTAATAACAACCAGGAAAATTACAAATTTTTTGTCGACAATTCAAAACTAATATCAAATGTCAAACAAGAATCCTGGGAACAATTATACTCTATAAATAATATAGACAAAGTAACGGGACTGTTCATAGAGAAAATAAAAAAACTAATAGATATTAGTACCAATAAAGTAATAATTAGTTACAAAGAGAAAAGCAGAAATGCCTGGATTACCAAAGGATTAATAACATCGGCAATAGAAAAAGAAAGACTCTATAATGTAATGAAACTAACGCCAACTACAGAGAATACCGACTGTTACAA